TTCACATTAAAACATAAAGATAGAACTTTTTTAGGAAAAGATGGTCTAGAGGTCAAGTGTTCGCGCACGTGACTGATAGATTCTGAGTTCGAATCTCACGCGGCTGAATTGTGCATGCGCACTGCTGAGAAGTCCCACAATAGGACGAAATGGCCATCTAATGCTTCCAGGTTTTCAATGCTGGTTTAACTTTAATTGACTTATGAGTTCAACTGTAAAATTACTAAAATCACCACAAAACCCCTTCTGAGGAAACGGATTAGTTTGTTTATATGCCATCAGTCAATCATACTCAACGAAGAATCTCAGATATGTGTACATCGGTTCAAGTTGCTACATCCACTTACAACAATCAGATGAAATGATAGATAGGAAAAATATTGCCAAGATGTGATATTGTGGTGTGTGCTACTGATTTCAATAGATATAAGTTGTATGTATCATCAATCGAAAGTGAAATGTCTGGACGCAGAAGGTTGAGATCAAAGAAAAGAGAACGAGAACAGAGTTATTGGTGTCGAAACAAAGAAACAATGAAATCTGAAACGATTGACTGACATTTCGCAAATAAATTATTAACTGTATTGTTCTCAGATTTTACTAAGAAATCCTGTAATTTTGTGTTCAAATACGTTTAATTGTCCCCACTTGTGTTTTCGTTCACTAAAATATGAAAGATATGATGGAAACACATAAACTAAGTGACTAATATAGAACAAACGTCAATGTCCGTTACTTAATATTTGACCCTGAACTGGTATGCCTTGTTGGCCTGGCGTATCATCTTCTTCCCAAAAAAATTAATCCGGCTTTTTATACTCACTTGTAGAAATTGATTCTGAGAGTATATCCATAAGGCAAAGAGATGTAGCCGAATAAACAGTAATTATTTTTGAAACAAATAATGGAACAGGAAAGCTGATGAAACATTGATTCCTTATACAACCTAATAATTTGAATCATCAGATAATTCTTTGAAATTACTGTATTCTATATGTATAGACTAGTCGTTCACTAGACATTTTTCGAATTCTAATCTGACAGATGTTAAGACAAGTCCGTCCAATGTTTATTTTAAAATCATTTCTTCCAAATTCCCATCTTGAAGTTTGAAATCATTCTAAAATATGATTACTTATCTTAGAAATGAGTAGAATGATAATTTAAACGAAAATACTGATATGACGTTGCTACCCATGAGTAACATGGGGAAAACATAGAAACTTCTAAGGAATGGGTCACATAGACTGCTTTGAAAAAGTAAGCAGCACAACAATTTGGTTTTCAATCAGGCCTCACTTTAATATACAGTAATAATTTAATGTATGTATGAAAATATTAATCTAATCAAAGCAATTCATAAGTCAATGATAACAACAAACTATACTACGTAACTACATATAATACCTTTTTGCCATATTGATGTGTATCTGCAACGTCAGCTACTACTGTAAAAAAATCTGTGATGAGAGTATAACCAGATAATGAAGCTAATAACTTAATAAAACCTCCCGTTCGCGGTTGGAAAAGTATATGAGTAAACCAATAACTCGCTCCGTTCTACAATATTTGGTTGGTAGGGATCATGTAGTTGATAAAAACAAATCATTTAGAATAATTTATTGCATACCAACTACTTTTCTCCATGGAGTTCGATCTCGTCTCCCATATATACTAAAAGTTATGGAGAATCGAGTTAACAACCCAAGTCTTTGTGTTCATAAGGAATTTGTAACACTAATTATCTTTCTTGGTCGAATTAGGTATAGCTAATGATCTTATTCATCATTGTTTCGTAACCCTTATACGCGTATATTATTATTCTTCATCCTTTTTCTGAATATACCCTTCACTTCTTATCATACAATCTCAATAATTTTTAATGAATGACTATTTAAACAATGCATATTTTTTTCCATGTATTTGACCTACTTTTATTATCTTCTTATGGACCTACTAATTATCACATGATAAGATCGCCAATTAGAACACAGATTTATTGACCAAACCAATGACGCATAAAACAGTATGAGCAGCCTAGGGTCAACTCTGAATTTTTAATAGACCTCCGAGATAGTAGCATCTCGCTTAACCCCAGCCAGTTCAGTCCAGAACACCAATATCAGACTATGTTATATGAACCAAATATTTCAAACATACGCAGTTTATATTACTAGCAAGTCAAACCGCATCATAAATGTCTGTTTTTCTTCTCATGTATTTGACCTACTTCCTGTTGTCAAAATTTGATTCAGATACAAGCTTAGAAGTACGCATTCAATGCCTTAATAATTTACATTAGGTCGATCACCTAAATTATCCTAGTTTCAATGCTTATTTTTGAATGAATGAATGAATAGATTACGAGCATTGAGATATAAAGATTAAAAAAAAGCTACATCGGTTCAGAGGAAAACTCAACCAAAAATAACTTCTTAGGTGAACAAATACTTCTTACATATTTTCAGAAAGAAGTTTTTTTGGAGATTTTAGTAATTTTATATAGTTGAGATCATGAGTCAATTGAAGGTAGACCACCATGAAAAACTCGGAAGCACTGCTTGACAGCCATTTCGTCCTATTGTGGGACTCCTCAGCAGTGCTTCCAGGTTTTCCATGGTGGTCTAGCTTCAATCGACTCATGATCTCAACTATATAAAATTACTAAAATTTTCACAAAACCCCGTTCCGATAATGATCATATTCTTACTTATTTGTTAAGCGTGGAAATAAATGCATATACAGTACATGTCTTTGTGAAAATTGTCGAATTTCCCACTTTTTTATTTACATTCATAATTATACTGTCAAAGTGTCTATTAACTGCGTGGTAACCAGGCCATAGATATAATTTTAAAAATTGATTACTAATTTAATGTTACAAAATGTTAGCATACCTATTTAATTTAGGAAAAATGTAATCAGATTCCAATTTGGTACAATGAGAAAAAACAACAGTTCATTGCCAATTGCAATTCCAGTAAAGTAATTTAAGTTAACATAAATGATTAAAAAAAACATTAAATCAACTAGACTACGGAAAATATTTGTAAACTATTTGATCATATTCACTTGGTATTGTTTAGTACTGCAACTGATCAGTCGCTTATTGGCCATATGTGCATACTGTGCGTATTGCTAAGTGGATAATGTGATGGCTTTTGAATCGAAAGGTACTGGGTTTGAGTCCAAGAATAAACATCAACTCTGAGATGCAGGTACATCCAGCTGACGAGTCCCAAATAGGATGAAACGCGCGTCAAACTGGATTCCACTGTTTGCTACTCTCCATCTTTGCTTATAAAATATTTGGTTGTTCATTGAATTTAACAACATTTAAATTCATAACAAAATATAAAATATAAAATTAAACAAATGAGCTATTTATTCAATTTCCTTTGGTATAATCTTTAATCAATTTCATGACTTCCTGTTTTCATTCTTCTCTTTCACCCTTTCTTGCTCATCTATGAAATTATTTATTTCATTTCTAACGAACTTCCCTTCCATATTCATCAGAATACAACAGAACTGTTCATTTTTAATAGGAAAAATAGTTTATTTCGGAAACAACAACAAAAAACTGTTTATGCGGCAGAAACCAGTATTTTTGTCTATACAATTTGAATTGATTTTCTGCTAGTTAAATTTATTGACAAGAATAAAAAAGAATAGTCGCTTCTTCCGGACTTTTCACCTTTTCACATATAGTATGACATTTTTTGGAGTTATTCACACAGACATGTATTTTGTTTCTATATACAAGCATATTATTCATGATTAGATTTGTTGTTAAGCCTTGAGTAATCAACTAGTATTATGTACTATCATTTCTGAGGGTACAATACATAGATTAATCTTTTGAGTCTATTTTACATGGTGCGTACGTATTAAAATGGTTTGAATATTTTTTTCCGGTTAACGTTTTTTCAGCGAGTTGGTTTTCTAAGGGATGGAGTCGCTAACCGAATGCCCAATTCCTCCTCCTTTATGTGGTCTTAGGACCGGCAGTAGCCCCCGGAGGAGCTACAGGTGGAGGAGGAGAAGAAGTAGACCAAAGAACACATTATGCCGAGAAATGGAGGCAGACATGAAAAGAATGAACAAAAACTGAATAGAACCAGAAAGGAAGGCCCAGGACGGAGTGGGTTGAAGAATGCTGGTCGGTGGCCTATGTTCCATTATGAGTAACAGGCGTAAGTAAGTGTTAAAATATACAAGTAAATGCAAGTACACTATTCCCTTAGGAAAAGTACTTTTATATACATACCTCGTTTAAGTAATAATAATAATCGCTGTTGATTCAACACATTATTTAATTTGTAGATAGTGAATAGTTTTTTGAAGAAAATCTAAATGATTTAGCTATGGAAAATCATATTCTTTATTTAATTTGAGAAATAAACCTGACATCATTTGATACGAATCATTAATCAACGATTTAAAAGTGGAAGGGGTTTTGGTGAAGATTTCAGTATTTTCATAGTTGAAATCATCAGTCAATTGAAGTTAGACCACCATATGCTCACTAGTGACTGACTTCAAGAGATATTTCCTGGAGTTCTAGTGAGAAGCAGTGACCAGTCGAGTTCAACCAGGGCCGTTGTGAGATAACAATTCACTGAAGACAATTGGTGAACGGTTGTTCAAACTTCGTGGATTGGTTGAAGTTAGACATTAACCCCATCAGATGCCGGCTCAGTGGTCTAGTGGTTAAGTGCTCTGGTGCAAGACTAGTAGGTCTTGGGTTGGAATCTCGCTCGCTAGTCGGGATCGTGGATGCGCACTGCTGAAGAGTTCCATAATAGGACGAATTGGCCATCCAGTGCTTTCAATCTGGCTGGAACACCATAATATCACAATGAGAAGTTGATTGAAATGAATTATTTTTATTCGCTCACTTCATTTCTTACTTATGCATTTAGTTTAAAAATAAATTATTATATATTAATTTTGAATATATTTCTACTTTACAAATATATAACAAAACATAGACTTACAGAAGTTAGTGGAATAGATTCAGATTTACTTTTCTCTGACTGACATAATCGTCTATAAACAATTTCTTCATGGGTTAAGAAAAATTGTGATATAACCTAATAATTAAGAAGAAAGTTTCGAAAGTAATTTTTTTGGAATGAATGCATAGAAACTAATTATGTGCACATCAATCAAGTTTATCGCTACTTTCTCTAATTATTGATCAATTGTCGTTACTCCTTTTTAATTCTTCTGATAATGTTTAACTCGCTATGAATTTAACATTTAATTATACTATACTTTATATTAACTCCGCCTGTAGCTCTTCTTGAGTTACTACCGGACCGAAGACCGGGTAAAGTAGGAGGGTTGGGCATGAGGTTAGCGATCCCATCCCGTAGAAAACTAACCCGCTAAAAAAACGCTAACCATAAAAAATAATTCAATACTTTATGTTGATCAATGTATTAATTATCTCTCATCTATAAATTGTCATCATTTTATCATTTGTAATTAGCCTTTAGGTCAATACACAACTTCTATTTGATATTCTATATTTCTAGATAATTTATGACATAATCTCAATTTGTTCTTTAACAGACCATACACGTTAGTATAATTACTACTGTAAAGATTCAGTGAATGATATGAACGGAATGAAGAGTTACTTTACTGAATATCTTTGGTTTTTTGAAAATGTCTTTTGAGCAATTCATTGCGAAATTGTGGATATAATAACTGTTTTATATAATTCACTTGAATATTAACAACTGAATAATAGACGATTCTTTTAAGTAAAACATCTTCCTGTTTGATTCATTCTTTACTTTCAGAAAACATATTTTACCAATATTTATTTTAAATGTAAACTTTATTGAACAAATAGCAATATTGACATGAAAATAGAACAAGACCAATTTAACAATGTTATGTCTAGAGCCTTGATTCTTACTATGCTGCGTACTACTAGACTACTTGAACGATAGAACCCGCAACGTCGCAAGAGAGAAGACAGAAGACTAGTAAGTAGGAAGTTTATTCCCCAAATCAGTGTCAAAATATAGTAAAGAAATCTCATGTATTTATAGTTATTGGCTGAATGTAAATCATCATTTCTGTCAACCAATAGGCACATAGGGGTCATTCTCATCCATCCAATGGGGAATCTACACATCGACATTCTAGAATATTCCCCTAGCAGTGATTGGATGGAATGTATGCGGCTCTTTCTGGGCTTCTTAAGGCTTCCTAGAGTTTACCAACGAGCCGTCCTTACAAACAACCAACTCAAATCTTTATAAGCAAAGATGGATAGTGGCGCGTTTCGTCCTATTTGGGACTCATCAGTTGGATGTACCTGCATCTCAGAGTTGATGTTCACTCTAGGACTCGAACCCAATAGGTTTCGCTTCAAATGCCATCGCGTTATCCACTCAGCTATTTAGTCCTGATAGTCACTTGCTTGTGCAATGGGATGAAGTTTAAATTCACTTGTTATTGTTTGTTTGAATCTTCCCATTGATGTTTAGGATTTCAATTGATCAGTCGCATATTGACATATGTGCATAATGTGCGTAATGCCTAGATATAGCCTTAATTCACATATGCCAATAAGAGACTGACCAGTTGCAGTCCTAAACATCAATGAGAAGATTCAAACAAACAATATTAAGTGAATTCAACTCAAATCATATTTCTAATTCAGACTTCCCTTTCATTTTAAAAGGTTAATTTAATTACAAACAAACATTAAATAAAGAACCACTGAATGAGTATGGACAATGAATGTTTGTTTCGCCTTGGTTTAGGAATCTTTAAAAGAGAGCACTCATAGTCCCAATATGTGATTGGATTCAAGACATTGTCAAGTCCTATACAACAATTAATTGATATGGATGGAATTTAACAGTTCAGATGTCTAATTTTTATTCAGATACGTTATTGTTAATGAAAATTCTTAAAATATGAATTTAATTCATTTAGTATTGTTTGTTTGAATCTTCCCATTGATGTTTAGGATTACAACTGGTCAGTCTCTTATTGACCATATGTGCATACTGTGCGTATTGCCTCGATGTAGCCTTAATTCACAAGCATTATAAGTAAAGATGTATAGTGGCTAGCAGTGAAATCCACGACGAGCATTTTGTTCTATTTGGAACTCGTCAGCTGGATGTACCTGCATTTCAGTGTTAATGTTCACTCTGGGACTCGAACTCAGTAACGTTCACTTCAAACTCCATCGCATTATTCACTCAGCTACTGAGTCCTGATAACCACTTGAATTTAATTGTTGACAAATATTTTTATAAGAATTACATGACATGAGAAAAATAATCAAAAACAAAATGAAATACTTACCTTTGCTAGTGCTATACAACCAATATCTGTAATTTTATTGTTGCTAACTGATAATGTAAGTAGAGTACGATTTGTTCTTAGTGCCTTTATTACAAAAATAAAAAATCGTTTTACAACTAAAAATGCACTTGTAGAATATGTTAATTAGTGTAAATAGAATTGCAGTATACATTTATGACATCACGTAAATTATACTATGATTAGCAGTCGATTTTTAGTTTACATTCAAGAAAAAGAAACCAAATTACAAGATAGTTAGTTAATGGAAAAATAACCAGAGAAGATAAAGAGTACTAAACACATATTTCGTCATATTTTCATTATGAAACCTTGGGCACTTGTTCTTCTTAACATTAAGGCTGGATAAAGATGGACTTCTGATTTGTTTACTAAGCTACTATTGTTATTATAAGTAGTACTAATCAATAAGGAAAATACGTTGTTCAGTTGATACATATCGTATATTTCGCATAACTGAAATCTAATCGAAAGAAAATTGAACAGATATGTTTAGTTTGAAGAAGGTGAAAGATTGGGAGATCTAAACCAGGCAGAATTGTAGTTATTTTAATAGTTTTTTTTTAAAAACTAGATGCAATCAACCTTTCAATCTTAAAGTGTTAAGTCCTTGTGTATGTAACTTTTACAAACACTCAAGGCATTGCTATGCATATCGGTTTCCACATTCATTAAATGGTTCAACTTAAAACTTATTACAGTTATAAATGGATCAACAGGATTCCTAGATTTGTTGTCAGGCTAGAGTAGAACAGTTGATAGAGTTGCAAATGAATCTGAATAGATGTATGGTAAGATATAATTAATGATCAATATATTATTCTCTATGATATAGGCATTCTTCATTTTCACATAGTTCATATGAATAGATCGTTCAAGAAATGGGAATCAGAATATAAGTAATTCCCTTTTCGTAACACTATTAAAAAGTACATTCTAAATCTTTCTGAATAATTTAAAAATTAATCAGAATGATGTGTCCAATAATTATGACAGACATAGTAAATGTATAACTCTAAGTGAGATGGGTTCTAATTCAGCATAGAGTATTTGGTTCTGTCTATTTTGTAAATATCCTTTCCTGACATAAGACAATTAGAACGAAATTAATTTTCAGAGCTTCCCGATGGCTGGCTCCAATCATTTATCAAAAAGCGAATTGATCTACAATATTGAGTTACATTTTCTAGTTGCTTCGTTCGAAGTTCATTGATAGAGTTCAATCAGTACCATGCACTAGCTGGAATAACAGTGGTTATTAATACTTGGCCGATCGCTGTAGAAAAATTAGTCATAATGACGACAATTTTATGTTCTCATTAGTTATTAGTTTCTAAAGGAAATTTCAGATTTCTAGTAAGAAGCTGTGGTCAGTGGAGTTAGTCGTGTTGGGTATGAGGAAAGTAGTCACCGAAGACAATGAAAGATAGTCGTACAATGTCGTGGACTGACTGAATTTAGACTTTAACATCATTGAAGTCCAGTTTATTGATCTGTAGGTTAAGCGTTCGCACCTATTACCGAAAGTACTGGGTTCGACTGCCGGTTACAGTATAGCGGGTATGCACTACTTAGGGGTCTCATACTAGGACGTTCAGTGATGACAGGTTTGTAGTGGCTCTCTAGCTTATGTCGTCTCATGATTTCAATGAAACGTAATAATCTCAGCAACCTCATACTAATAGTTCGACTAAGCTCAAAACTCCACCTGTAGCTCTTCTAGAGTTACTGCCGGTCCCAAGCCCGGGTAAAGGAGGAGGGTTGGGCATGGGGTTAGCGACCCCATCCCGTAGAAAAGCTAACTCGCTAAAAAACGCTAACCAGAAAAAATAATTCAAACCATTTAAACTCTGCCCTCCCAGTTGAAGGAATAATTATGACGTCTCATGATGAAAGCCGAAATTCTTCGGAAGTCACGAGACCGATGTACCTTCTAACAACCAGAGCAACACTCTTTATAGGTACATGGAACGTCCGGACAATGTGGGAGACAGGAAAGACCAGTCAAATAGCAATGGAAATGAGGAGATACAACTTGGCAGTACTCGGAATCAGCGAAACCCATTGGACACAAACTGGACAACAAAGGCTAGGTACAGGAGAGATGCTGCTGTACCCCGGTCACGAAGGGGAAAATGCTCCACACACTCAGGGAGTTGCTCTATTGCTGTCCATGGAAGCACAAAATGCACTTGTAGGATAGGAATCTCATGGACTCAGGATAATCAAAGCATCATTCAATACAAAGAAGGAGGGGATCACAATGAACGTTATACAATGCTTTGCACCCACCAATGATAGCAACGACGATGATAAAGATCAGTTCTATGAAAGGCTGCAATCAATTATAAAGAAGTGCTCACGAAAGAACCTCACCATCCTGATGGGAGATCTAAATGCTAAAGTTGGAGTGGACAACACAGGATATGAAGATGTAATTGGACGACATGGATTAGAAGAGAAAAATGAAAATGGGGAGAGACTTGCAAACCTATGTGCATTCAACAAATTGGTTATAGGCGGCACAATATTCCCACACAAGCGCATACACAAAGCTACATGGATCTCACCGGACCAAACCACAGAGAAACAGATAGATCACACCTGTATCAACAAAAAATTCCGTAGATCAATGGAAGATGTGAGAACCCGGAGAGGAGCTGACATAGCTTCAGATCACCACCTGGTTGTGGCCAAGATGAGACTGAAGCTAAAGAAAGACTGGACAACTGGACAAACAGCACTACAAAGGTTCAATACAGCTTTCCTTCAAGGTACTGACAAGCTCCATGAATTCAAGATAACTCTCAACAACAGGTTCCAAGCTCTACAGGATCAATTGAATGAACAAGTAACTACTTTGGAGGACAACTGGAAAGCGATAAAAGAAGCACTAATTTCAACGTGTCAAGAGGTTCTTGGTCCTAAGAAGCATCGTCACAAGGAATGGATCTCTATGGGAACCCTGGACAAAATTCAAGAAAGGAAGAACAAGAAACTAGCAATTAACAACAGTCGAACACATGCAGAGAAAGTCAAAGCACAAGCAGACTACGCAGAAGCAAACAGGGAAGTGAAGAAAAGCATTAAAGCCGACAAGCAGAAATACATGGGAGAACTATCAACGGCGGCGAAAAAGCTGCAAGAGAAGGGAATACGAGACAACTATGTGAAACAACGAAGAAACTAGCAGGGAGATATAATAAACCGGAGAGACGAATCAAGGACAAAGAAGGAAAGACAATCACTGAGATTCAAGAACAGAGGAAAAGATGGGCAGAATACTTCGAGAAACTGCTGAATAGACCAGCCCCATTGAATCCACCGAACATCAAAGCAGCACACACTGACCTTCCTATAGATGTCGCTCAACCAACGATCGAAGAAGTCAAGATGGCCATCAGACAAATCAAAAGTGGGAAGGCGACAGGACGTGACAATATACCAGCTGAATCATTGAAGTCAGACATTGAAATAACTGCAAGTATGCTTCAACTTCTATTCACGAAGATTCGGAAAGAAGAATAAGTGCCAACAGACTGGAAAGAAGGATACCTCATCAAGATACCAAGAAAGGAGATCTGAGCGAATGTGAGAACTACAGAGGCATCAGTTTGTTATCAGTACCAGGAAAAGTTTTCAACAGAGTGCTGCTGAATCGGATGAAAGACGCAGTAGACGCCAAACGTAAGGATCATCAGGCTGGATTCCGTAAGGATAGGTCGTGCACAGACCAGATTGCGACAGTACGGATCATCGTTGAACAATCAGTTGAGTGGAACTCATCACTTTACGTCAACTTCATTGACTACGAGAAGGCGTCTGACAGCGTGGACAGGAGAACATTATGGAAACTTCTTCGACACTATGGAGTTCCTGAAAAGATTGTCAACATTATCCAAAACTCATACGATGGACTACAGTGCAAAGTGGTGCATGGAGGACAGCTGACAGATGCATTTCCAGTAAAGACCGGAGTCAGACAAGGCTGTCTAATCTCCCCATTCCTCTTCCTTCTGGTGATTGACTAGATTATGAAGAATTCGGCATCTGAAGGGAAATACGGAATACAATGGACTTCTCAGAATCAATTAGATGATTTGGACTTCGCAGAAGACCCAGCCCTCCTCTCTCATACACACGAACAAATTCAGATGAAGACAGCAAATGTAGCAGCAGCCTCCGCGTCGATAGGCCTCCACATTCACAAAGGAAAAAGCAAGATTCTTAAATGCAACACGGAGAACACCAACCCAATCACACTTGATGGCGAAACTTTGGAAGAGGTGGAAACATTCAAGTACCTGGGGAGCATCGTTGATAAACAAGGAGGATCGGATGCAGATGTAAAGGCGAGGATTGGCAAAGCAAGGACAGCATTTCTACAATTGAACAACATATGGAACTCAAAACTGTTGTCAACTAACTTCAAAGTGAGAATCAATACGAACGTCAAGACAGTCCTACTGTATGGAGCTGAAATGTGGAGAACTACTACGCACATCATCAGGAAGATACAAGTATTTATAAACAGTTGTCTACGCAAAATACTCAAAATCCATTGGCCGGATACTATCGGCAACAGCGTTTTATGGGAGAGGACAAACCAGCTTGGAGCTGAAGAGGAAATTAGGAAAAGACGTTGGAAGTGGATCGAACATACATTAAGGAAATCACCAATGTGCATTACAAGGCGATCCCTAACTTGGAATCCGGAAGGGAAACGAAAAAGAGGAATGCCAAAGAACACATCAGGCCGGGAAATGGAAGCAGATATGAAAAGGATGAATAGCAACTGGAAAGAACTGGAAAGGAAGGCTCAGGACAGAGTTGGATGGAGAATGCTGGTGGGCGGCCTATTCTCCTCGACGAGGGGTAACAGGCGTAAGTAAGTAAGTAAGTAAGTAAGTATAGATTTACAGTAATAATACTGTCGCTTATCTACAATGAAATATTAATATATAAAAAACATGTGTTATCATTTACTTCATTATGTACCATAGTGTTGAATAAGTCAAACTAATACAATGTCCAAGCATTAAACTGTTACTTAAAGCAGAATTCTCTTCGAATTAATACAATCATACAATAGTCAGTCCCCAAATGCCCTGGTACGGCCGAGAGTGGGGAGAGTCCACTCTCCCTCTCCAAATGCTCTCACATGGCCACGCGTATATATCCCCTGCCAGGGAAGTCCTACTCACTGCCTTCTCGTGGCACCACTGTTGTTCACAAAAGTGAGAGGACGAAAAGCGAATGTCCGGTGCTTTAACCGGGTTGGTGGATGTGGAGGGTCCACCTAGGGGAGTTGGAAAACCCTAATTCCAAACCAATAGTGCACATGGGCTCCAGTCTTTTGAGGGAACAAATGGCGTATGAATCAATCGTTGGTCACCGGCTACCATGGGACTGCATCTCCTCACGATGCTCCACTGCCTTGTGGATCAGACCTTTAGGTCAAAGGCTCCGAGTGTGGCCCTTTAAGGAAACCACCTGCTTCTGTCTGGGCAGTATCATAGCCCTCACACAAATCGAATGAGATTTGTGTGGTGCCCCTTTGTACCAATATTTATGTGTTTAATTTAATTAAATAATTAATTAAATTAAATTAATTAATCATCTTAATATGAACTCTACAAGTTTATAAAATCTAATGATTCAATAGCTTTTTGCTTGTTTAAAAATGAATTCTCCATCATTCTTTTTCTTTTTCTAGATTAAGGAATTGACAGGAATAAAGAATTATCATTAATATCTAATGTATAATAATTATCTAAAACTCATTTTTAAATGACCTATTAATGGTAAGAAAATGAAATTTCTACTCAACTATTTTACAACTCATTTTTGAATGAACTTTAACTGAAGTATCGATTTTGGATCAGATCTTATTTTTTTTATCCTTATTTTGATAAGGATCAAATGATTATGATTCTTAACAAAAGTATATATCGGGACTTGAAATGAAGGTTAAAAGCTAAGAAAAAGATTTCAGAGTGAACAACAGTTGGGAGGACAGTCTTTTTTTATAAAATTATTACAAGAAATGTATTATGAACAGGGGCAACTGAGATTTGGACGACATAAGGAAGAAGTTGAAAAGTGATGCCAGATGTAGATTATATTCATCTTTTATAAAATAATACAATCCTTTAATTAGAATATAATTATTTATATTTTGATTCTATTGACCATAGTGATAATGGTGTGGTGTGGGCTACTTATCTTCACATAAGTAGTATATGGTTATGGTCAGGCATAGAATGTATTTTTGCAGAAGACCGATAAGGAAAGAACTCAAATGAAGCGCAATCAGTACGAAAATGTATTAACAATGAAATCAGAGAAGACGGACTGATATCTGCAGAAGGAACAGTTAAGACAATTGATTGATAGTATGCAAATTAACTTTTGACTGTATGGTTATCAGAATTTAGTGAGATAGTCTGTAATTTGTGCTTAAATACATTCGATTGTCCCCATCCGTGTTCTCATTCACTACAATAGTATTAAAAATCAAATTAAGTAGTATACAAATAAAGAATACATACTAATTATCAGAAGGAGTTTTGTGGAGATTTAGTATTTTTCATAGTTGAAAGCGTGAGTCAATTGAAGCTAGACCACCATGGAAAACCTCGAGGTACTGGACGGCCAAATCGTCCTATTATGAGACTCCTCAGCAGTGCACATCCACGATCCTGCCTAACGAGGTTCCAACCCAGGACCTATCAGTCTCGTGCCAGAGCACTTAACCGATAGACCACTGAGCCTGCCAGCATCCAATGGTGTTAATGTCTAACTTCAACTGATCCACGAAGTTGAGCAATCATTCACCAATTGTCTTCAGTGAGTTCCTATCTCACAACAGACGTGGTTTTGAACTCCACTGGTCACTGCTTCTCACTAGAGCTCCTAGATGCCAGCTCAGTGGTCTATCGGTTAAGGGCTTCGGCTTGAGACTGGTAGGTCCTGGGTTCGAATCTCGCGAGAGCGGGTTCGTGAATGCGCACTGCAAAGAATACTTACATTTTCCTGAATGAGTAAGGTAAGCAGAATATAAACTTATACTGATTAGGAAGTTGGAAATTAATCTTTAACACGTTAAAATATATTTTGTATTGTGTTTAACAAGTAATAAATAAGTGTATGAAGACAGAATATTTTGGAAAATCTACCGCATGAATTCCTAACACTTCGAAAAACAGAGACACTTATCATTAGTAAGGAAGTAATAAAACATATTAGATGATCAATCATTAACTCTTGTAAAATCGTTTACCGTTTGTCCTCATCACTTATAGCATAATTTATTCTAATGCTTATGGAAATCTATCAAAAATCTATCTTACAGACGTTTATAGATTCCATGTATCCAACCTAGTTGACTGGTTTACACTTCAATCTAATGTCTATCAGTTAGTGGTGTTTTCATGCAAGAAAGATGTTTAAAAAACAGCTTTATTTAAATTTCTGTAAAAAAAAACAACTTCACTTTCATTTAAAACAATCAGATCTCCTCGTCATGAACTAACATAATGAGAAGTAGAACAGTTGATACATATTTTAATAAGTAGGCAGATATAATATGAACATAGTTTCATAAAGATCTTTTTGTGCGCTTATCAACCAATCTAACAAGTGATACAACATTATAAACTATTTGTTATGAAATATATTTTTATCATATTCTGACTAACAAACCACATACTTTTTGCCTTTTCACAGTCCCGTCAGTAATAGTAAGATTTCAGTTAAACTAAATCATTTTGTTTGTTGCACTTAATTTTTTTGAATATCCATACCTTAGGAAACACAAACGTTAATATTCTTCAAAAAAAATATTACTCTGATTCCCCTTACAAAAGGTATTATAATGTTTACACTCATGGAACTCTTCAAAGAACCACTTCTATATAATAATAGAATACTATAACCAATACTTGATTACCTCAAGTGGTGTTCGTCAGGGTTGTCCACTCTCTCCATTCTTGTTTAACTTTGTCGTTGACATGCTTTTAGAGATAACAATCTCATCATCTAAATCTCCTGGAGTTGAACTTTTACCGGGAGACTAACTTGTTGACTTAGAATACGCCGATGACATTGTTTTATTCGATGAAGACGCTGACAAAATGCAGAGTCTTCTGACCACTATAAGTAACTATGCAGGCATGTTCGGGATGCGATTCTCTACCTCGAAGTGCAAAATATTACTTCAGGCTTGAGTTGTATCGACACCTGGACTAGTGATAGGGAATGAAGTAGTTGAGTGTGTCGACCGCTTCACTTATCTTGGGAGTCTCATCAGCCCTCGTGGTCTGGTGTGTGACGAAATCTCAGCACGGATACAGAAGGCTCGTCTAGCTTTCGCCAACTTGCGTCATTTACGGCATAGGCAAGATATCCGTCTAGCAACCAAAGGAAAAGTTTACTGAGCAGCAGTTGGTTCCGTCCTACTTTATGTCATTGAAATATGGCCGGTAAGAGTAGAGGATATGAGTAGGCTACTAGTATTCGGTCACAGGTGTCTTTGAAGCATTGCTCGTATATCCTCTAACCACCGAGTAAGTAATGCAGTTGTTAGGAAACGGGTACTAGGAAAGGATGGCAAATCAATTAATGAAGTAGTGAAACTTGATCAGTTGAGATGGCTGAGACACATGCTACGTATTTCACTGGATTATACTCCTTGAATAATATCTTCAAATCCTAATCTTTCCGATTACTGCTTATACTCTTACTACCTCTACCACCATGGGATTTGAATCGACAACTACATCTCTGTGTTAATGTGGTATGGCAACTCGAACTGATGTACGTATGTACAATGTTCTACGTTGTGACTGACTGACTAATAACCAGTGTTAACTATTAAACAAGCATTCAAAATGGATTTATTTTGATGGTAAAAATTTAAAGTTCAACATTATCCTATTACAACTTCGACATAGAAAAAATGGTCACACTTGCTAACTGTACTAAAAAGCAAACACGCAACAAATGTAATTGAATTATTATTTCTAAACTAAAGGAGTTCTGAATCTGATGTTCAATTGACAAATCAGTTTAATACATTTTGATTGGTCTACTCAAATTATTTGCATTGATCCAAGGTCATTCCGTGTTTTTTTTACTAGTCACGTGTAGTATTTCTCCAATTTTAGTTTTTGATATTGTTTATTTTTATTCTCCACAAAACCCCTTCTGATTATAATCATATGTTCACTAGTGACTGACTTCAAGATACATGTCCTGGAGCTCTAGTGGGAAGCAGTGACCAGTGGAGTTCAACCAGGGCCGTTGTGAGATAGCAATTCACTGAATACATTGGTGAACGGTTGCTCAAACTTCATGGACTGATTGAAGTTAGACATTAACACCGTTGGATGTCGTTTTAGTGGTCTATCGGTTAAGTACTCGCGCGTGAGACTGGTAGGTCCTGGGTTCGAATCTTCTGAGGTGGGATCGTAGATGCGCACTGCTTAGGAGTCCTACAATAGGACGAAACGGCCGTCCAGTGCTTCCAGTTTTTTCAAGGTGGTCTAACTTCAATTGACTTATAATCTCATCTATAAAAAGATTATTTAACCAGATATCAAATAATTCAATACAATATAAGTTACCTCAGCCAAATAAATTGTACCTTCATCTCCTAGCTGATTACCCGATAGATCAAGATTTATTAATTTTTTATTGACATATTGCATTGTTCCTAATCGTTGACTAATTGATTTTGCTTCCATTGGTCCAATTTCACAATATCTTAATCGTAATTTTGTTAAACTAATTTGAATAAGAATGGAAGTTGAAAGAAGAAATTAACTTTAGAATGTAAAACAAAAGTAAATTAACTTAGACATGAATAGATTGTTATATTGATTCTGTACTAAGCAACTGTATCGAAATGGTTACTTTAGACTGCCAGTTCAATATTCTAGTAGAATTTATTTTAATCCTTAAATAGTTAGTATATACCTAGATGGCGAGGAAATTAGAAGCACCTAACTGTTACCTATTCATGACATAATATATTGATTTATATATTTCCATTCTTAATTTGAAGGGGTTGTAATAAAATATAGAAAGTTTAGTGACAGCTTGGTAATTGTGTAATTGGAAACAACTTTACGTAGTTATAATAAACTCAGAGTGTAGCACAAATATGAGTTTGCCTAAGTTACAATACCCCACTAAAACAGTAAGATTAAATGTACAGAAAAAATGATAAGAGTCAAAATGATATTATGAAAGAATCAAGATTGAGAACGTTGTTCAAAAAGGCAGGATGAAAAGGTGTATATGAAGAAATACTGGAACTAAAGACTTTGAGGAAGACAAAGAGTGAATGCTTTTCACCATTGGAACCTATTCTAAGACATATTATCAAATGTCCTTTATCCCTAATCTCAATTATCACTAAGAAACTTACTAAATGGTCTACAATAACTAACATAGGGTATATCACTGATCAATGACTTCATGGACTGATTCTATGTTCTGGTTTGCTTACTCCTAAACTTTCTTCCAACCTACTCCTAAAACAGTAAACATCTCCCGTCGACGTAGACAACGGTTGAGTAAAAGATGTACTAGCAACTTTACCGCTTACCATTCTTCCCTAGAACCTTATGCCTAACCCCAGCACTACTCGCTCAGTCGCTCCAACAAACACAAGCAATGCTTCAGAGAAATACATAATCAAAATCCTACATCCCACATATGTCTTCTAGAATCAAAAGGGGAACTTTACTCAACTATCAGCTTATCAATGGACTTGGATCTCCCGTTGTTAACTCCCAAGGCCAGACTTTAACAATCTCTATAGGTATAACTGCACATTGCCTATAGCTATTAGTTTGAGTATATCTTTGGGTTATGGATAGCAGTAGAATCCAGGACGTATATTCTTTCCTACTTGGGATATAAACCCTTGGAAATAATATCATACTCTTTAAACAAGTTGGATGCAAACTGGACACAGCAACTTAGTAGATAGGGTGATTTAGTTTGAATTAAAGATACTGGGTTCAAGTCTTAATTACTAATACCTGTTACCCCTAGTGGAGGAGTGTAGGCCGCCCACCAGTATTCTGCATCAAACTCAGTCATATATATTTCTTTCCAATTGTTTCCAATTGCTGTCCATCCTTTTGATGTCTGCTTCTGATTCCTGAAGGAACATGTTTCTTGGTCGTCCTCTTTTTTTTCCTTTCAGGATTCTAAGTCAGGGCTTACCTCGTGATGCAGTCTGATGATTCCCGTAATGTATGTCCTATCCACTTCCAACGTCTTTCTCTAATTTCCTTTTCAGTTGGAAGCTGGTTCGTCCTCTTCCACAGAAGGCTGTTGCTGATGGTATCCGGACAACGGACATCAAACATCTTGCTTAGATAATTGTTTAGAAGTACTTGTTCTATTTTGGTGATGGTTATAGTAGTTGTTTGAGCTTCAGCTCCGTACAGTAGAACTGTATTAACGTTCGTACTGAAGATTCTGACTTTTAAATTGGTTGACAGTTGTTTTTATTTCCACATGTCGTTCAACTGTAGGAGTGCTTCCTTTTCTTTGCCAATCCTCGCCTTTACATCCGCATCAGATCCTCTTTGTTTGCCGATGATGCTCCCCGGGTATCTGAAAGTTTCTAACTCTTCCAGAGTTTCTCCATCAAGTGTGATTGGATTGGTACCTCTTGTGCTTGCTGTGGACACTAACAATGAGATGCAGTTAAATCCAGCTGATGAGTCTTGAAAAGTATGAAACCGAGATCTAGGATGTTAATACTAGTTACGATCTAAAAATAAAATCAGCTTCAATCAGAACAGATAAAAACAATTCACAAGAATCCAGAAGAATTAGATGAGCATATTTTTTATAGTAAAACGTGTCAAACAAGATAGTAAAGAACATAAATGTTAAAACGTTCACTCTCTCACAGTAAATATTCATCTACAGCTCTTTTAAATTTTATTAGTGAATCTTGTTAGTCATTTGGCAGCTCTGAAAAATAACTTTCATTTTCAGCTATCACTCTTTCGAGTAATTCTGTTCTTGATGACTTATGAAATAGTCAATAGTTTAAGTATTAAGTAAACCAGTGTTCATCACAATTGGATAATTAATTGACTGGAACATTGATGAAGTATTATTGTTGGTTTTACATGTAACAGTTACCTAGAAAATTTTTTAAATGGATTGATCTACATTGTCGTTTACAATTAATCAGCTACTTCCCAGTTTATATCCTTCATTATGGAATTCCCAACTATATTTAGATCATTTTTATATATAGTTGAAATCATGAGTCAATTGAAGCTAGACCACCATGGAAAACCTCGAGGTACTGGACGGCCAAATCGTCCTATTATGAGACTCCTCAGCAGTGCACATCCACGACCTCGCCTCACGAGGTTCCAACCCAGGACCTATCAGTCTCGTGCCAGAGCACTTAACCGATAGACCACTGAGCCTGCCAGCATCCAACGGTATTAATGTCTAACTTCAACTGATCCATGAAGTTGAGCAACCATTTCACCAATGTATTCAGTGAGTTAATATCTCTTAACAGACCTAGTTGAACTCCACTGGATCAATTTGGATAAGATTAATGGAAACTGATTTCTTTGACTTTTTTTTTAAAAAAATTCTTTATTCATAAGAATGGACTAACTGAAACTAAATCTATATGTAGGTGAAATAAGTAGAAATCATAAATATATACATAAATTACTACGAACTTATTAGATTCATCAATTAATTGAGCATATGAACCAATTTCTAATGCTTCATTAGCATCTATTGTTAATGATCTAAAGATAAGTAAAACAAAAAATAAAGAAGTGATCATATTTAGAAAAAATTAATTTAAAAGAGCATCTGATAAAGATGAGTGTTTCTTTCAATCAAACAATAGTTTGTTACTTTTCATTGAAAGTTAAATATGGTATATGTTAGATAGAATAGATGAGAGAAAATGAAATATAAAATCCCATTACATATTATCGCATGAATAGATCAATATTTTAGTAGTATGATTAGTTAACTATAAATCTATTAAGCAAAGATGGATGGAGGTTGGCAATGTAATCCAGGACTCGTCAGCTGAATGTACCTGTATCCCAGAGTTGATGTTCACTTCGGGACTTAAAGTGGATAACGTGATAGCGTTTGAAGCGAACGGTACTGAGTTCGATTCCGAAAGTGAACATCAACTCTGTGAGATGCAGGTACATTCAGCTGACGAGTCCTGAATAGGACGAAATGCACATCCTGGATTTTACTGCTAGCCACCATACATCTGTGCTTAAAATACTTGTGACAAGGCAATATCGAGATAGTCCATACGGGTCCACATATGTCAACAAGAGAGTGATCGATTGCAGTTCTAAACAACGATGGGGAGATACAAGCAAACAATACCAAGTGAATATAAATCTATTATTCTACTTTATATCAAGAATGTTTTATTGAAGTTTAACGTTTTTAATACTATTCAGTACTATTCAGTTTGCCTGTGTAATCATTTGAGTTATAAACCTAAGTGAACAATATATTTATGATTATTCATTTAGTTTTATGTCATATTTGTCACTGAAAAATCAAATATCTCTAATTGTTAGATATTTTATGCATAACACCACATTTTATCATATACAAGTTTAAAAAGCAGTTTGATTAGCTTCCATTTTTGAATAGCTGTGATATTAGCCTTACATAAGTTACTGAACATCGGAATAATAAGGTGAGTTTCACTTTACTTAAAGTATTGGTTAAATAAATTACTGGTTTTATTATTCACATAGGACTCTGGCTGAATCCTTTCTAGGATTTCAGTTGTTCCCAAGTCTGGTTAACTAAGGAGAATTAGACATGGGTTAGAAAACCCGAATCTTACAAACGAACCCACTATAAAGTTGACGACTGGAGAAAATTGATTAAGCTTTTCTCTAGGAGAAAAAGAATCTTCATATAGAAGAGTTACGATGCCATATGATGAAAGTCACGAGGTCAACACTCTTGACTGCCAGAATAACAATAAACATATGGACAATGAATTTCCGAATAATGTAAAAGATGAGTCGTATAGGCTGATGCCTTACCACGCCAGCATGAACAGATTTATACTAGCCAAATCTTCTTAAAGTTTTCGTCGGATTTAATGGCCTATTACACTATTTTAAAAAGCGAAATTAGAAACAGGTTTAACTAAGAAAAATGTCAACTCACTTTATAGTATTATTAGTAGATAAGAATGAAGCTAATTGAGTTATTTGTTCAGCTGTGAATCCAACTCTCCAAAATCTTTTTTTGTATGAAAAAGGTAATAAGGACATGAAAACATTACTGTATTACTACGATAATCCTATTAAAAGGTTTTTCGTAACTATAAATATAATTTGGTGGTAAACCAAACAAATCAGAGCAATACATAAACAGACAGTATTGTTTCATCTAGATCCTCACTATATTTTACTCTAACATATGGTAATATTTATATTCAGATAGAGACTATTAAACTAATCAAGACATCTTAAACAATCGTCATACAATAGGGTTAGATTATTTGTGTGAATCATTTCAAGTTACTTGTGAGTAGTTCAAACTGAATCTCAAAAATCTTTAATCCTATAATTGTTGTAATTTGTCACAGCAAATTTTTTACTAAACTGTAATCATTTTTGGTTAATATTCTTTGAAAATTAGTTAGTAACTAGGGGGATTTTGTGAACATTATGACGCCTGAGCTATATCACTTTAGAATAGGATCCTTAACCCATAAATATTTTAGGTATGTTTATAACGGCGTATAATAATAACTCCAGAATAATATTCGATTAAGATGATTTACGATAGTAATTGGTTAGCTGGTTTAAGTTCAGAAATAATAACTCAAGCGAAAAGAAACTGTGTTTCACTTGCTGAATCATAAAATAATCCTTTAACCAGGTTTAAATGTCACATCTACCATAGAATTTTACATCATGATTATATGAATAACATGCATGTAACGGTATACTCTACACCGCCTTATCAAACTCAATAGAACCGGAACAAATAAAAAGATAAATAGGTCAATAAATAAACTAAGGCAACCATAATTCAAAGACTGATAATTATGTAAGAGTATAGATAAGATCGTGAGCCATGATTAACAGTTATCAAGAAGTTTACTGATAAACCACTCTCGGTAAATATGAAAACAAACATAAAAATTTAGTGTCCACCATGTTTCACGGGGATTGATTTCTAAGCAAACTGATTGCAATCTTTGTATGTTAAGTCCCCCTACTAGATTAAAAGACTGTGTGTATCTAAAAAGGATTCTTGGTTTTATTGATTTTTCTGGAATCATCTAAAATAGATTATAATGGATTAACGCGAACTCTTTGTAAAATCAGTCATGTTTTTATTTAAAGTTACTCAAAACTCATCCGGCTTAAATCATGTGTACATATAATAATAAATCTATTACACTCCTTAGGTAATCTTACTCTGAAATTTATGTTGTTATTTCACGAATCACTACAGAATGTCTATCAAGACTACTTGTGTTTGTCTTTTACATCATAATTGATAATTATGAGCAACGAACCTCCAGATGAACGCTTCTTTTTTTGTTGTGTGTTTCAGGAGTTTTCATTTCCTCGCTTTTATCAGGATACTGTTCAGCCTTGTGTACATTAATACTTACATTTGCATTCACCTACATATTTTTTAGGTTACAGAAACTCTGCAATAAGGTGTAAAAATTACCAAATAAATGTTAGCTGAAATATTATGACTGACGAATTTAGAACGGCTAGTAGGCTCTATCAGAGGTTACCTGTGAGCTGTTAAAGTAGCCACGGAAGAATTAAGTTTAAATTTTTGTATAACTATCGGTTCTATTAAAACTGTAGACTCCTCTAGAGCACAATATCTACATTTTCTTCATTTATTCAACGTCAGAGTTACGGAATGTTAGTGTTAAGCCGTGAAACTTATAGTAGACATTACAAGATTGATTGATTAAAATTCAAAATCAGATAAAAACGATAGGGAATACTAACCAGAGGGCGATTATATAGAATTTATTTTCCACAGAAAAGATTCGACTTGGTAATCTTTATAATACGTTGAAAGTTTATATACCATCAACTTAAAACAAATACAATTTAAAACACTTCGGACCACTTAAATATGATAAATGGTCTGGTGATGTCACTATATATTTTTTATCTCTGGTAAGTTAAAATAAACTTCCGCCAATGATAAAGATCCCATTTTTGAGAAAGGAATATGATAAATTAATTTCAGTCGATCAAGATTTTTCTTTTATTGCTTGAAATTTTATATTATTTATTCGCATCTTATAGAATGACAGCTAAACTCCACTGTCGATCTATAGAGAGTTTTTTAACGTGATTCGTTGACGGATAGGCAACGTGATATCTTTCTATTGATTTAATGAAACTGCCTCAGTCCATGTTGCTGTCTGACAAGGAGTGCATTATAAAAGTACAGGAGGTGGTCAAACTAAAGCTTGGAATCAATCCATGAAGCCAATGACAGTCAAACATAGCCATGCAGGTAGGTTTAGACTACTTTGTTGTGGCTTGCATGGTTATCGTAATTAGTGATTGAAAACGTTAGATGACGTGATTTAGAATCGGTCGTAATGGCATATTTACATTAACTCTCAGTCTTAGCTTAAACTTTGAGTTTCGAAATTATCTTTTACGAACTTTATTCCATAAATTGGTCCCTCGCAAATCATATCACTCATGCCTAGTCTTTCTTACAACAACTACCACTGATACTGTTACTGCTTCTGCTACTCGGGGATTTGTCTTTATAACCACATCTCTCTGTAGCAATGAGGTACGACAACTTAAACCAACTCATATATGTCCCAGGTTTTACGTCAGAATGACTGATCAACTCATTATAAGAGTGAACTTCATCAAATTTTACTGAAATGGTGGGGTACATATTGATGCCGTATCAACTTATGCAGAAAATTGTGTCTCAGTTTAAGATTGTTAATGGAAATATCGTACTATTCATTAAATATCAAAATACTAAATTAAATAATTATAATCACAAATAATTGTACTCACACTAGTTTGGAAAGCTTATTCGCAACAGAAAAACATTTGATTAATACATCCAGTTGACTATTACTTATTTTCCAACCTATTTTTTTTATTTTCGCTCCATAGAATCTCTTCGTTGTCAAGCCTACCTTTTATAGAAACTTCATTAACTGTTTCCGGTCTATCAGGATTTTCCTGCTGAATAATTATTTTCGGTTTCAAATATTCCAGTGTTTTACATAACTTGAATGTTGTAGGATTGAATCCTAATGGCGGTTGTATTTCTAAATTGTGACAGAAAAGAAAAAACAGTGAGCTATTAGGCCTTATTTCTGTTCCGAGGATAACACCCGAAAGTATGTTACATATTTTTAATCCTACTTGTGAACATGACACATAAATACACTATTATGCGGTAGGGTATTTCGAATTTTCATAAGCTTATATTTTGATAGGGATTGAGTTTTCTGTAAAGATTTAACTTTTGACAGTAAGTACAAAACTTACATCAACAAATCGGTTATTATGGTAAGAAATCTAAAAAGTTGATGTTCATATCCTGAAACTGTGAAGGCAATTCTGCTGGAAACTGGAAGACATCGAGTAAGTCATTCACTCTACATCAGGACTCTATCATTGCATGCTTAAAGGTGTCGTGGAACCAGTTCTTGTATGTCGTAAAAAATTGACATGTGCAATACAGGGATTATGAGTAGAGTATTGCGGACATATCGAAAATTGACTTGTGGGACTGTGAATCTTATTTTACTGAAGACGCCTGGTTATGTGTTACTAATGCCTACCTACCACTTATCCCAACCTTCAATGCTTTTTTCATCAACAATAGGCTGAAATCAAACTATTGGTTGCAAAACTAAGATATAGAATTTGTCTATGTAGCAGTTGACCTCTGAGTAAGCCATAATAGTCGGTGGGAAATACGTGGTTGATATTTTCGAGATAATCAGTGATCAGTAGTTGGAGAAGTTGGGTAACATGGAATCTGTCACAATACCTCAAACAAGTTAACCATTTATGTCCTAACGAGACTTTAGCTTCACTGCAATTCACCATTTTTTACTCCTCGAACCAACAACTTCTTAAAAAATATATCCTTCAGTGATTATTCATCCTTACTGTCATTTATGCTACTATCATATTGGCCCCTTCACTTTTTATTGCGCTAATTTCATCTTGTTTAGTTGGTATGGCAAGGCGACTCAGACTGATGTACATTAACTTCACGTCCTATGTTGAGTATGAATGAATGACTGCATTTATGATCTCATATGAGATCGAATCAAAGGCGTTTAGGTTTCTCTACATACATAATACAACTATATCACTAGGTCACAAGCAGTGATCTGTATTTTAACTTAAGTCACCACCTAGAATATTTCGTAAAATAACATTGTTAATTCGTATGGTGACTGTCAGGGTTGAAAAATGTTGGTTGATGACGTTGAATTGTTAACCATTCACAGCGGTCTGGTGATCCATGACATAAAAACCACGGAATATTACTCAGCAATGGCTGCAAATTATTTTAAAAAGCCGTGAGAAGCATTCATAACATTCATAAAACTACATATGGTATTAGTATGTCCAGAGTTTGTGGATTGTATCCAGAGAAGTAGTCAAATCTACAAACTGTGGTGCTACTATGAAAAATGCGTGCTAAAAAGCAAGAAGGAGACAGTTTTCAAAGTCTAATTTGATGTCAGATAAGGAAACAGTCGCAACAAGTTTATTCTTCTTATCATGCGAAATATATTGTAAAGCCGTTTAAATCCAATCTTCTGGTTAATTCATAAAAATAATACAATGTTTTACGTATTTTCACTTTTGAACTTTTTTGTAGAACGAATCCTTTCGAAAGATTAAGGGAGAATATGCTTAAAATAAGTTTGTTGTCATTTGTCAAGCTCCATGACCTATTTTCAGTTTCTGGAACGCTTGCTTCAAGGACACTACGATATGTCGTTCAGTAGACTTTCATAAAATGACAACTGGCCAATCGCAAGACCTCATTACATTGACAAATACTAAGTTACTTAATTTCTATGATTTGAACCAGCGCGTGTTTCAAAAAGGGCAGTGACTTTCATACTTGTTGTGATTATCGTTGCTTTTGTGTATTTGCTGTATCAAAAGCATTCTTGGTCTACTTTAACTTGAATTAATTCAGTTAAGGTTTGAAATTTTATTGAAAACTTTGTCTCGTGGTTCCTTCTTTTGCATATACTCTGACGCTTGTGCTATTATTGTGATCATATTGTTTTTTAAACCTAATCTGATTACAGTGGTTGGTAGTTCATCAAAATGTGGACAGCCGAACTGTTTATTCCCCGTAGATGAAGGGATGCAGTGCGACGAATGCAAAAAATGGTTTCACAAGATGTGTACCCGTCTCAGTCCATCTGCATACAAAAGATGTTCTAAGCCTAACTCGCACTGGCTTTGTATGTTCTGCTGTACTAACAAGACGACATTAATTCAAGAGGCTATGAGCCTATTAGCTCTAGCCTGTAAAAAGAAAGATAGTGGGTGCGCTAGTAACGCAAGCACTGACAGTGAAGACTGTGTCAGTGTTGTAAGCGCTGTTACAAAACGCGCTGAACAACCTACTCTAATTAATGACAAAGTGAAACTTCCGTTACAACAAACGAGGAGTAAATCACCACATGGTATTGACATGAGTAATCATGTATCTTTAGTAGAAATTGAGGACCCGGATAAAACCGTCACCGTCCCCAATAGTCCCAATGCAGCTGTCCTGAATGACCAAAAATGAACCGCAGTAAAGATAAAAAGAAAAGGAAAAAAAGCTAATGATAAAGCACACTTGGTTGACAAGCCATTGAGGAACTCACAGTCTGAGTCACTCAATGCATTATCGCACTCTGATAGAACGGCAGATCATCATCCTAGTGCGACTGAGAGGAATTTAATATCATCGAATATTATTGTGAGTAAATTGCCAGAGTCTAACGATTCAGATCCTAAGGTTAGACACACCCATGACTTAGAGAGGCTCGGAGAATATATCCGTAGCATATTACTAGATAACACTAAAGGTGTTCAGGTCAAAAAATTAGTTAAAATAGGTAAAAGGGCCGATGACAGTGTTCTACTCCGACCGTGTAGACTCCTTAAGGTAATCTTAGGGTCGGAGAAACAACGTTATCTTCTGTTAAATAACGCTCGAAGTCACGACAACTCTGACATTCGAATGCGATCGGATGTGTCTCTTGAAGATAGAATAAAAAGGAAGACGGCACTAGCTGAACTAGAAACCCGTCGACAAAACGGTGAAGAAAATCTCCGATTGGTGGGTTTTCGAATAGTCAGGTCTTGGAAGCGAATGCTACCAAGGCCTGTGTGGATAAGTCGTTCCCCCTAAGAGTTTTATATGCCAACGCCCGTAGTCTAAAACATAAATTCTACGAGCTAGGAACATTAGTGGACAAATTAAGGCCATTCATTGTAGCTGTGACGGAAACTTGGTTAGTCCATGACTTCGATATCACCCCAGAATTATCCGGATATCATTGTTTAAGAAGTGATAGACATAGATGCAGGAAAGGAGGTGGCGTCCTTCTATACATAGCCAATAGTATAAATATCCGCTCCTCCGTTTGCGAATCCCATGATAGTGGAACTAGTGAAGTCATTAGCCGTGAACTCACTGTCGGATGTTGTACATTTGCACTCGGTGTCATCTATCGCAGCCCAATCTGCTTAGCTGATGACTTTATTTTAGAGCACATTCGGCTATGGAGTGCAAATAACAGATGCTTGATATTAGGAGACTTTAATGCACCTGACATTAGTTGGACTGAGATGACCACGAAATGCTCTATAAACTCATTTGATAGCAGGCTCTTGGAAACAGTAATGGAACATGCATTAGTACAACATGTATCCAAACCTACACGTTTTGGTGTAAACCAAGGTTCTTCTCTGTTGGACTTGGTAATTACCCATGAGACTGAGGATATTGCCAACCTAAATATTCTTCCCCCGTTAGTAAATAGCGAACACGCTGTTTTGTCATTCACGTTTAGAGCTAGCGATATGATATACGATCAGATTAAGCCTCGCCCAAACATATGGAGAGCTAACATACCAGAAATTCAGGATTGTGCTACTAAGATAGATTGGTCAGTAGATACTAGCTCATCAGTTGATGAGGCGTGGTCTGTATTTAAAGGCAAGTTTAGTGCAGTCACGTCCCCGTTTATACCATACTTGGTGCCACGTAGACCGAACAATAGTCCACCGTGGATAAATAAAGAAGTTAAGAAACTCCTTAGGCGTAGAAAAAAACACTGGAACATGTTCATCTCTACTGGCTTAGAACAGTACAGATCTAGTTATCGTAAGATTAGAAATAATTGTAAAGCGTTAATTAGTAGGTCTAGACGGTCATACGAAAAACAATTAGTTAGGGATTGCAAACATAGTCCAAAACGGTTATTCTCGTATATAAAGAGGCGAACTCAGAGAAGTGATGGGATACCATCACTTTTGATACAAGAAAATCCGTTAAGTTTGGCAAGAAATGATACCGAAAAAGCGGAAGCTTTTTCGGAATATTTCAGTAAAGTTTTTTCTACCAATAATGAGGAACGATCACCTATTCATTGTGATTGTGGCGACTTGTTGATGGACCCTGTAGTTATTAAGAAAGAAACTGTTTTAAGCCTACTTCAGCATCTCAAACCTGATAAGTCTAGTGGTCCTGATGATATTCATCCTCGGATTATGAAAGCCCTCTCAGATGTTATTGCGGAACCCTTAGCGATGCTGTTCGATATGTCCCTACGGCAGTCCAGATTGCCCAGAGACTGGAAGGACGCAAAAATCAGTCCGGTGTATAAGACTGGGGGTAGGGATTTAGTTAGTAACTATCGACCCGTCAGCTTAACTAGTGCAGTTGTAAAACTAATAGAAAAAATTATTAGAATGGCTGTTATAAACTACGTGGAAAGACATGATCTTTTGTCAAAGGAACAACATGGTTTTCGAAAAGGTCTATCATGTTTGACAAATCTTCTCATTGCAAGAGAAGATTGGGCTGAGGCAAAAGATCGCAATATTCCTGTAGATGTCATTTTCATAGACCTAAGTAAAGCCTTTGATAAGGTTTCCCATTCTGGTCTTAAATTGAAACTAGAAAGTTTTGGAATTCATTATGCAGTCATAGACTGGATAAGTGACTTTCTTCATGAAAGGAGACAACGGGTAAGAGTAAATGGGGCTCTCTCATCGGGAGAACCAGTAAAAAGTGGCGTCCCCCAAGGCACGATTCTAGGTCCTCTTCTCTTTTTACTTTATATAAATGAATTACCAGCTATAGCTAAGTCATCCGTCCTACTATTCGCCGATGACATTAAGATGTGGAGACCCATATATAGTATGTCAGACAGAATAGTTTTACAGGAAGATCTTAACTCACTAGTTGCATGGATGAATGGGTGGTCACTAGAAGTAAACCCTAATAAAAGTGTTGTGATGCAATTAAGTAACTACGATTATTCGTATCACTACACATTATGTGGACTAGTGTTGCCCAATGTAAGAAACTATAAAGATTTAGGAGTCATACTAAGTAATGATCTCAAAACAACCAGTCACTGTAAGGCTGCTGCTGCAAAAGGCTATAGGGCATTATGGTCTATTCGTAGATCTTTCCGGTATCTGGATGGGGAAATGTTTAGATTATTATACCCAACTTTAGTACGGCCACATTTGGAATATGGGATTCAAGCAGCGAGTCCTTGTTTCAAATATGAGGAGGATATGTTGGAACGAGTCCAACGCCGCGGGACAAAAATGGTAAAAGGCTTATCTAGCCTATCTTATGAAGACAGACTGAGACACCTCAACTTATTTCCGTTATCTTACCGGCGAATACGGGGTGATCTAATATTGGTATATCGTATCCTGAACGATGACCTTGATACTAACATGTCCTATCTTTTCCTCCCGTCTAGGGCTGAGCATTTGAGAGGACATTCAAAGAAAGTCCAAAAACCGAGATCAAATCGTCTACGTCTGGAGTTTCGTTCCTCGCACCGAGTAGTGAATTACCGGAATTCTCTACCAGAACACGTAATATCAGCACCTTCTGTTGATATATTCAAGACGAGATTGGACCTCCACAGTGTAACAAACTGCAAGGATTAAAATAGGTCACTAGACCTCCTATCCTTATTACTGAAGACTGAAGACTAATAACCGGGACTATCCATTTAAGTCCCACTTAATTTCCTGTCGCTCGGGGTGAATTTATCACTTCACAACTAGCTTTGAAAAATTGTTTGTGTCGAAAAACATCTTGAATAATGAAATATGTAACGATTGCTCTGTAAATGCATAAATGCGAACCGATAGGTGTAGTTACTTTAACGATTGTGACAGGTTTTTTACTCAACAATAAATAGTCAAACACCATATTTAAAAATTAGGGGTTGAAATATGAAACTAACCGTCAGAATATTTAGTAACTGATGAATTTTGAGACTGAGGACTTTTCTTATCGTCTTTTGACCGTTTCGACGACGGTAAAGAAGATACCTACGTGGAAGAACGTTCAAAACACTGAAAACATGAACACACTGTCTGTGTAATTATGGCTTGGGAGTGTTTTGTGGATACAATTGGACAGTGAGTGACACCACTTTGTTTACATAATCCAGGAAAATCATTTTCCAAATTACCAGTTACAACATAGTCCTCTAAAAAATAAACGATACAGCTAATCATTGTTTACTTGGATCTGAAGTAAAATGTAGATCCCCAACTTTGGGGGATTTGTCTTTTGCAGATTTTTTCCCCATCTGCTTACATATTTGAGAAATCGTCTATAGTAACACTCAAGGTTAGCGTACATTCAAATAATTCAAAGCAGTACAAACTGAAATAATCAAATTGCCTTATTTTACACATTCAACAGTACCCTAGGGTCCTATAACATGCTATTTTACTTTTTATTTTATTTCTTGGAATATATGTGTTACATCGACACTGTAAAAATGAAGTGATACAGAAGAGAAGGGACTTGAATGCTACAATTGATAATTTAACAGACACACAAGCTAGGAGAACATTCTAGTTTAGAAGCGGAGATAGCATCTGAAAGTTAGCTCTTTGATGGTTTGTCGAGCTGAGATAGCCATGTTAAATCTCAGGTAAGACAGATGTACTGGGTTAGTCTGGGTTACTTAGTTGGTTCTAATTCGGAATCGGATCGTCCTTACTGTTTGATGATATAAGGCTCAGTTTTTGAAGCATACCTTAGTGTGATTTGTACAGCTTTAAAACCCTTTCATTACGTGTTTTATATCTTTCATAGATTTGTCCACCCTTTAAACTTTGAACGTTGTTGGCCAGATGTATAAAACGATTTTTCCTTTAAGATCCTTATATGGATAATTGGAAAGAGGTTTCAGACACGACATTGTGATTCTTCTTACTTTTCCGTTGAAAATGAGGGCCGAATACGTCTGTAGAAGTGACTAAGAATCATTCATCACGAAACTTACTTAAATGACGCAAAAATATGGTCTTCATATGATAGATTCGGTGGAAGATGCCGCCATTATTGGTTTGATCAGGAATTTATACTCATCCTAACGTCGAAAATATTTTTTCGAATTTTCGTGCGGTCACCACCGCTTTCTATCTTAAATGGATAACTTCTTAGGTGTTACTCAGTAATGTAACATGTGGGCGATTCATCCAAGTAAAGAGGGTTCTGAATGAAACGATATCTTACCTAGTTCTTCCATACCGCAAAAGTTGCGAAATCACAGTCACCAGAATGGCTAGGTCTGGTTTACTTCTAAGTTAAACGCTTTGTTAGCAGATCTCCATTAAACTCATTCCAATAGGGAGATACTACTGAAAACGCCACAGGTATTGTAGTTTGACACGACTTTAACCAGCATCACTTTCTATAATTATGTTGTGCCCACCTAGTGAAATCAAAAGTCAGAAGAGAGGAGGTTCGAGGATATATTTGATAGGTTATCAATATATCGAGAAGTGACTGATCTAAACTGGCTAGTAATCGCAGGAGAAGTTGAGCACTGCGTTGCCACTCGTGATCTGGTACGGACACATGACTGAGCACCTTCAGTAGGTGAGTCTATGAAAACTAATGTGGTTAACATCCAATGTCGAACACTTATAGAGCCATTGATTTTGGGGATTTATTTACCGCTACAGATCACTCCCCCGTAATAAGGTAATGGTGACCCTAAGACTTGGTCAGCCAGAAGTTTAAGCCAAACGAGTTTGTTGTTGGTAAACACTCCTCCGATAGCTTGCTATGTTTAGCAGCGTCTAGTCATCTTTACTTACTATAAGGAACCATGAAGTACAATATTGTAATAAGGAAAAGAAGTACAATCCCGAAATGTGGTCTCTCGTAAACCTCATCGTTTTTTTCCATCTTTTCGATCCGTCCTGAAAAACAAAAAGAAAGTATATAATTGTATGTTGAATTACACTCGTACGCGCGTAAAGGCATAAAGCGGGCGAAAAAGGTAAATGAACTCACACACCTGCGATAGCGTAAAAGCGATTTTTAAAGAAATTTTGGGTTTCTTTAAGAAAAAAGTTAAATATACACATATTGGCAAGAAAATGTATTTTTGAAATAAGTATATAAGTATAAGCATATTAACATTTTTTATTATATATAATACAAAGGAAAATCAAGATTAATCAAAATGTTAGCTGATGTCTTACGTGCAATAGTCGTTCAAATGTTCTGGAACTCTCACTCTTCTTGCAGAACGCTTTGGTCTAAGTATATTTTCGGATACTGACGAAGTACCAACGTGCGTGTAGGCTGTCGGATGAGATTTTTTAGGTGTAGAAGCCGTGTCGTTAGACTGTACAGAAGGAAAATTGACGTGGATAGAATGTCCTTCTAAAAACGCTGCTTCCATTCGATCGATACTGATGCTATCGTTAGTGCCATTCTTATCGACTATATAGAACTTAGGTTCGCCATGAAGATCTTTGAAGGGTCCTTCGTATGCTGATGCGAGAGGTTCTTAATGTGAATCTTGACGTACGAAGACATGTGTACTTCATCTTAGGGCAGGCTGAGCAAAAACATGAATTGATTGCGGTCGAATGGAAACAGCTTTAACTGAACGCATTGCATTTGTAGGCCTGCTTTAGTAGGAGCTTAGATCCATACTCATTGAAGAAGATGAAGGATCCACGAATTCTCCTAGAAGTCGAAGTGCCGTTCCATAAACGATTTGAGCTGCAGTGTACATAATGTCAGCTTTCACTGCATTGCGAATACCAAGTCACACAAGTGGAAGAGCGTCGGACTATTATGAAACATTTGCAACTGATAGTGAACCTTTTAGTTGTCGGTAAAAGCGTTCTACCAACCCGTTTGCTTGTGGGTGGCAGGCGGTCGTTCGGAAGCGAGTGATTCCTAGTAGTGTAACTAGACAACGGCAAAGTTCAGATTCAAACTGACATCCACGGTCTGTAGTGATATTTGAAGGTTAGCCGAAGTTCGCTACCAGTCGTTCGACGAAGGCGTGAGCCACTGTTTCAGCAGCAATGTCCCTGATGCGTACTGCTTCTTGACATCGAATGAAACGGTTCACACAATTTAAAAGATAAGAGTATCTATTTGAATCTGGTGAGGATGCTACCAAATCCATATGAACATGGTCGAAACGAGCATTAGGAGTTTTGAATGATACTAAGGGACATCAGTTGTGCCTAATCACCTTAGATTTCCGACAGCGTACACAGGAGCGTGCCCACTCCCTCACGTCTTTATTCATACCAGGCTAGCAAAACCGTTCTACTGTAAGCTTGATAGATGCATGCACACTTGGACGAGAAAGTTTGTGCAACGTATTGAAGACGTTGCGTCGATAATGGTTCAGCACTATTGGGCGATGCATATCTGTAAATGTGTCAAATGGTAAGGTTTCCTTACCTTTTCCCATCTGCTTAATGCGCAGTCTGAGAAGTTGAGGATAACTCGTTCTGAAGATCATTGTCTTCTTTTTGAAGCTGGGTGAGTTCCAGAAGGTTGATCCCTTAGAAACTGTTCAGGGAATTTATACGGGACAAAGCGTCTTGAACTACATTTTTTACTCCAGAAATGCGTTGTATATCTGAAGTTTACTGCGAAATGTAGTCCAGTTGTCGAGATTCATGAGGTGAGTACTTGTTTGAAGATGAGTTCAAATAAAAAGTAAAAGGTTTGTAGTCGGTGAAAGGGTGGACTGTCTGCCTTCGACAGAGCGTTGAAAATGCCGTAAAGCACAGTACATAACTAGGAGTTCCCTACCGAAAGTGCTGTACCTCGATTCAGTGTCTAGCAACCGTCTTTAGAAAAATGCTAAGGGTTACCAGGAGTGGTTAACCAATTGTTGTAAGACTCCTCCAATTACTGAGTCAGATGAGCCTACTGAGATAATAATGGGGGCTTGAGTGTCCTCATGTACCAGCATGGTTGTTTTTGCAATAAGCTCCTCAACTGAGGAGAATGCTTTCAGCGCGGTGTCGTCCAGATTGATGGATTTCGCATTTCCACGAAGTTCGTCGGTTAGCGGTTTCATATGGGACGTGCAGTTTGTATGAACTGTTTATAGAAACTCACGAGGCCGTTAAATATGCGTAGTTCCTTGATTGTGGCCGGTTCTGGGTAACCCGGGATGGCCGCCACTTTGCTTCCAAGAGGTCGGATGCCTTGCGTATCAATAGCATGTCCTTCGTGATCAAATCTGTGACGAATAGAAAACCGCTATGTTTGCAATCTACGGTTGCCGTTAATGCGAGCCGGCTGAAAAGTTTCCCGAATTCTTTTTCGTGTCGATCGATTTTGAGTTCGGATAACTGTAGGGTTTCCTGTAATTTCTGGAAAACTTTCCATACTGGTTATGATACCAACTCCAGTCGGCGTTATCTGTTTCTCGTGGTTTGGAGACAGATCGCCTACGTGAAATGCTTCTTCGCAGGGTATGTGATCTTTTACGGTCATTACGAAATCTAAGGTAACGTGTAAATGTATGACATAATTCAGTAATTTCATTCTGGATCATTCTGGATGTTTTCCTTCGACTGAAGAAACTTCGGCATGAGAAGATCTCGTAATTTCTAGGATGCGGTCAGCAGATGCAGCCAGCTCTTCTATGGCGTTGTTTGAAAAGAGACAAGTACTACTTGCACCTATTGAGGAAGTTTAGACAGAAGTTGTCTAAAACGTCCCATCATAGAAAGTTCTTTGGCCGATAACCTATCTCATTCTTAGCAACATATCTGTTGCAGAACCATGTTGCAGGTCGATACTTTTAAGAAGTTGATCTAATCTTTGTCGATCGGTTAGCTCTCTGCGTTTTAGAATCGACCGTTTTAGGGTTTCGTAAGATTCCGAAACATCAATAGTAAATATAATAGGTATGACGTATCTGTTGAGTTTGCGCGGTAGTGTCTTTACAACCGCTAGGAATCGTGCTCGTGGATAAGTCATGCCGTGTTCATAGAAGTCGGCCTCTGTGTAACAAAGCCAAGTTTTGATATTTCCGGCCGAAAAGGCATTAGCTGAAACGAGGGTGGTGTAAGAGTCTTGACCTTTAGTAGCTTAGGATTCAGTCCTGTCATGGCGAATTTAGAGTATAGGGATGAACGTAGGAAGATATTCAAAAAGATGAAAATAATATCACAATATATAAAGAATAAAGTAAAGCGATGAGTTATGAAATTCCAAAAAGGAACAGACTCGTAGTTTATGTGTTGGTGTACCAGATCACGTTGGGCTCACCAATGAAGATGCCACAGGCGTTGTAGTTTGACATAACTTTAACCAGCATCACTTTCTATAATTATGTTGTGCCCACCTAGTGAAATCAAAAGTCAGAAGAGAGGAGGTTCGAGGATATATTTGATAGGTTATCAATATATCGAGAAGTGACTGATCTAAACTGGCTAGTAATCGCAGGAGAAGTTGAGCACTGCGTTGCCACTCGTGATCTGGTACGGACACATGACTGAGCACCTTCAGTAGGTGAGTCTATGAAAACTAATGTGGTTAACATCCAATGTCGAACACTTACAGAGCCATTGATTTTGGGGATTTATTCTCTGCTACAGGTAATCTGATGCATTTTTCACATAACTTAAAATTAACAGTAAAGATGACTTAGAATAGTTTGATATGTAGGTTGACTAGTATTGCAGAATAAACCATCAACACAGAATATATTTCATTTGCTTCATAATAACCACGGAAACCGATGGTTAGAGTTTTTATTGATTTAGAATTCTGCATATTTCAAGAGAGCGACGAGTAAAGTTTCATAGACTGTGAGAAACTCTCGAGAGGTAAACACCGAGTAGTCTGTTGAGCAATGAAATCCCAGGTAAATGTGGAATTATATGGTCATTGTAGCGGAAAGAACACTCTGAAAAACCCCCAGAGCATTTTATTGGACATCATTGTCATTTGTTTGATTTTCCTCCATTTCTTGTATTTTAACCCTCATTTAATTCTATGTTAACAGCACTTTATGTTCTTAAGTCTTCCTTGTCTGAGCTTTTATTATGTGGGCTTGGTAAAATACTTGTCTTCTGTTACTTAACCTTACTGCTGCATGTTGCCAGACTGCTGAAAATGAGGTTGTGTTGAACTAAACTAAAGATCACGGTGTGGTTCCGTTTATTACTTTTATCTTCTGACATTTTGCTTTTAAAGGTTGCCATAATCCTCGTAAATAGACATCTGATCCCATCTTGTTGAAAATGTTTTATTTGATTCTCAGGTATCGAAATTTTTTATGAATTACTCCTTTCGTTCTTAACACATCAGCGTGTTTTAGAGAAACCCTTGAATGTATAACACAGGCTGCACCGCTTAAGGTATTTTGTACCTTTGATATAATTTATTCTCTATCAAATTAAAACCGTTTAGATTAAACACAGAGTTTGTGTTTTGATTTAACTTGATACGAGTTACTCAAAAACGCTTCGTAAGCTATACAGAAGAACGTAGTCTGGTCTAATCGAATTAAACTTTCGTTCTTTAGTTCTGCGTTCAAACCGAATATTGGTATTTTGGTCGTCACCGTCAGTTTAAGAACACAGAATTTTTGTCAAATTATCTGCCACGCTTAAAGTAATTGAATTTTTGACTGGAACAAAGTTTAGCACTTAAAATCACAGTCCATACATTTTAATTTTGGATGCATTGGCACCCAATACTTCTACTCTGTCGTTACGTAGTCTCTCCTTGGTGTTCCTAAAACCACACCATTACATGCCTGAGTATCTAAAGAGAAAAGTACCTCTGTTCGAGACACCATTGTTATCTACACCGGTGCTAGCAGTTTATCACAAAATCTTACATCAATAGATAGTGTACAGCTCGATTGCTACACGTCTGGTGGTACCGATTGGTAGTGGGAGCATTATATTTAACAGACAAATGTTAATTTCTGTTGCCTAGGTTATTTTTGCTCACACTGAGGGCCAATAGTTCGTCTCACTTAATATCCAAAGCCCTGGGCTCATGAGTTGGTTGTGTGTGGTACTTTAGGCGCTCGTCTATGTAATCAGCTATCTCCGCTATTTTATCGACAATTATTCTGCTATTTCCCGAATGCCAGTTTCCGCAGCTGTTCTCCAGTAACCAATGAGGCCATAGTTGGCTAGGAACTTTACTGTCAAGAATGTGATTACACAGCAAAGTTTTTAGTAGGACTTTCAATTGTTGCAATGTTTCGTCACAAGTCCTAACTTCTCTGAGACGACCAATTGTCTGCTGATCAGATAAGGAAACTACTTTGCCTATCATCTACTTCAAGGAAATCATGGAGTAATTGCACCTGACTTTATTAAAAATTCGAGAACCTATTAGGCTGCTTCTTTAGTGGGACTAGGTTGAAGTACCTAACTTTGAGTCATGAAATGTAACGTGGGTACAAGGAAAACATCTATTTTAGTCGTTCAAACCAGAGCAGGGCATCAATGAATTTTCAGATGAACGAAGACTAATAGCTCTAACAAACTATATGTTACGATAACTCAAAGTTTTATCAGAAGATAAGTAACAGTATCAAATGTACTGTAAAATACAGAAATTCCCAGAGCTATCCAAAACTTACTTTAGCAACTATAAACCGGCCGTTGCTTGACAATTAAAGGCCGTAGAAGCAAACGGAGATAATGTACATTAGAATAAACCTAGTAAAGAAGCGTACAAAGTAATTTTCTGTTATCAACTACCATACCCAACACAAGGTAAATGGAAATTTGAATATCTGTAGTTTACTGCAAACTATGTAAAGGTTCTTTGAATTTAGGAACCAGCTTTTGTCCCACCTTTCGAGTCGATCTGCTTAACACAGTCACATGTAAGTGTAATCACAATGTGCTCTTACCGCTCTTCAACGGGCCTGTATGACATGGTAGGACCTTGAGGAACGATTGTTCCAGCCAGTATGGCTCGATCGGTTCATCACGATAGGCAAGCCCGACCACCACGTCAAGGTAGCAGCAACGGTCAGGAGCGGCCAGACTAAAACATGGCATAAATCCATGAAGTTACTGACAAGTGAACTGAACTATGCTGGAAGGTGTAGACTACCTGGTTGGGATTCGCGAGATGATAGCAACCGATGGTTAGAGACCTTTAATGACATGGCTCAAAATCGTTTGTAATGGCTAAGGTACATCCACCCTTTATGTTCTACCAAATTCTAATCTTCTGAATTCTTCATGTCTCTATCTTTTTTCTCTTTCCAAATCTATTTCACTGGATTACACTCCTTCAATAACATCTTCAAGCCCTAATCTTTCAAATTACTGCTTATACTCTTACTACTTCTACCACTATGGGATTTGAATCGACAACTTCATCTCTGTGCTAATGTGGTATGGCAACTCGAACTGATGTACGTATGTACGAAGTTCTACGTTGTGACTGACTGACTCTTTATAGATTTGACTGTTTACCTCATAATCCAACACAATAAAATAAACTTAATATTTGTTGACATTATCATCAGTAAACTTTCAAGTTTAATTTGTCATTTCTGTAACATTTACAAATATTATTAACAAATCTATTAGACAAATAAGAATAAAATGAATTGTTGTATGTTTTTTGTCTTGATTCACTTATACTTTCATCATCATCATCATCATCATCATCATCATCATCATCATCATCATCATCATCATCATCATCATCATTATCATCATCATCACCATCATTGTCACCATCTTCATCATCATCATTATCATCATCATCATCATCATCTTCTTCTTCTTCTTCTTCTTCTTCCATCTGACAAATACTACATGTTGTAATAACATATAGTATTGTAACTTATATGTAGTATAACGAGCAAATAATAATGATAATACTTCTTCTTTTAATGGAAATATAATAACATATATGTATATCCTTCAACAAGAATGGTACATGTCTATTCTATTTAATGATAATTAACACAATTGTCCTGATTAGTTTTCTTTTTAAAAAATGGAGGGAAAAATAAGATTTTAAAAGTGAAATTCAGGGAATAATTAAGTTCTTACCTTGTTTTTGTGATCTACCACACTTTGTAAGAAAAAAAGATAAGTAAATACATAGATATGCCAACTTTTCTCTTTTTTTGTTGTTTAAATCTTATTTCATTTATTTTACAAAAAAAGAACTAACCATCACAAAGAACGAATAATTTAAGATATTTTCTTTTTTTTGGACTAACTGGCGCCTGCCAACCTTCTTTTTTTTGACCAATTGTCCATAAAAATACTGATTGTGTTTAAGAATTGAAAAAAGAAAGGACTTTAAGCATTCAATTTGGTAAATCAAAAAAAAAATGTATACAAAGTAAAGAAAGACAGTTTGTTGAAAAACTTAATAACAAGTATATTATGGCGCCAAATCTTGTAGGTTCCAAACAGTACTTTCATGCATTCTCTCTATCTATCTCTATATATATCTCTCTCTGGTCTATATATACATAAATACACACATCTATACACAAATTAATGTATCTTTCAACTCGTTCATTTTTCGTGGATTCCCAACCAACCCTTTCAATCACTTTTATTCTATGTGATTACTGTTCACTTCACTCTGGAGAAGCAGTACCTTTAAGCATTGAGTATTTTTAAAATTACCTATGAAATAAATCGTCAAAAGTGTAAAGTATTCATTCCTTTATTATATTTCTTTTTGTTCCCTAGTGAAAATGAAAGCGAACTATTAAAATCTATTTAATCCTATATAATCTATGTAGTTATTCATTTTAAGTACATAAATTGAATGTAAAATTTCTGTCAACTCAACTACTATTCTAATCTGAATTCTTTTTAGTTACTAGTAACATTTTACGATAATCACTAAAAATTTGCAGTAGTTCTATAAGATATACACTGTGATTCCATTAGGAATTGTGTGTGCTAATCTATTTTTTTTTGCTCTACTTGCCGACATTTCGAAGAGTTTCTGGAGTTTTCCGGTGTCTTCTTAATTAAATAAATGTTATATCTATATCTTAATTTTTTTTTGCAATTTCATTTTTCCCACTTCACCTCATTCCGCCTCTCTCTCTCTCTGTATATACATATACTCTTGTAATCAGTCTAACAATCTATTTCTGTAACTTCAAGTGTTTTATCAATTTGAAAGAAGAATTACCTTTAAAAAAAAAAATTTTGAAACCTATTAAAAATGAACAACTCTTTTTTTTGAATGTCATTGTACTACTATTCGTTATAGTCACTTTTAATACTGGCGCCAATTTGCTTACATTTTAAAACTATCAATGTAAAAGAGAAAAAAGAAATGTAAAAATTCTTGACCAGAAATGAATACATACCTATTCATATGAATTATTAGTTGTATTCTTTATAATTAACTATGATATGCTGTACATTCATCTATATATATTTAACATAGTAATTTATACCTATTTAAATGGACATACTTTCTAACCATAGTTTATCTATGGGATTCATTTAAACACTCTTATTTTTTTTCTCCTTAGTTTCAAAGAACAAAACTATTTAGTAATCGTATATCATTTGAAAAACAATAGATGAATACCCTTTTTTTGAATTTTGTTTCTATTTCATTATAATGGTTAGTGATAACATTAATTAAGCGGAAATGAGTGTTAAAAGTTATCAACACATGAATATATATCTATATCGTTTTGTTTTGTTTCCCAATTGATGAATATATCATTATTATTATTATATTCTTAATGTATATTCATATACAACATAGATGAAAGCATAAAAAGAAAGTTATAACTAATTCAGTAACTAATCTTAAATGATTCAATACAGTTAGAAACTATTTTATTATCCCCCCCCCATATTCTAGATGAGATCTATTTATTTAGCTCAAATTAACACTTATTTATGTATCAATGTTCAATGTATATAAATCAGAATAAGCTTTATCATGATTGTTCATCGACAGTTTCCTCTTTTTGCGAACATAAGTTTCTATACATTTCAATGGGTAAATATAAAAAAATTAGAAAATTTTCATGGAAAATAGTTATTCTGTTATAGTTAAATATAAATATGTATAAATGGAATCTTACAAGTAGTAAATTTCATATATTGTTATAATTAATATAAATTATTCAGAATAAATAAATAATATTAATGATTTCAATACTGTGGGAGAGAATAAACCACATTCCAGCTGAAGAAGAAATCAAGAAGAAGTGCTGGAAGTGGATAGGATACATATTGAGGAAAGCATCTAACTGCGTCACAAGGCAAGCCCTCACATGGAATCCTGAAGGATAAAGGAGAAGAGGAAGACCAAAGAACACATTACGCCGAGAAATGGAAACAGACATGAGAAGAATAAACAAAAATCGGATAGAACTAGAATGGAAGGCAGAGGACAGAGTAGGTTGTAGAATGCTGATCGGCGGCCTATGCTCCATTGGGAGTAACAGGCGTAAGTAAGTAAGTAAGTAAATGATTTCGATAGTTCAGATCGTGAGTGAGTTGAAGCTAGACCACCATGGAAAATCTCGAAGCATTGGACGGTCATTTCGTCCTCTTGCGGGACTCCTCACCAGTGTACGTCCACGATCCTGACCTACAAGACTTGAACCTAGGATCTATGAGTCCAGGTTTTCCATGATGGTCTAGCTTCAATTGACTCATGATTTCAACTATATATATCTAATTAGTAACAATTTTGTTAGAATATTTGGAATAGAGAATAACAATTTTAATTTTCTTCTAATTAGACAATAAAGAAGTTATCGAAAGGGGTATTGTGGAGATTTCAGTATTTTCATAGTTGAAATCATGAGTCAATTGAAGCTATACCACCATGGAAAACCTGAAAGCACTAGACGGCCGTTTCGTCCTACTGTGGGACTCCTAAGCAGTGCGCACCCACGACCTCGCCTCGCGAAGTTCGAACCCAGGACCAGAAGTTAACAAAATAGTTCTGTGATTTTTAAAATCTGTTTAGTTAAAAAGAGATTGATTTATTCTTCCTTTTTTTTGCTGTTTAGACATATTATCTATTTTTAACATATTCACCATTTTGGTAACTTTATCAAGTGTGTGTGAGTAGATAAGAAATCTTAAGCATACATTTCATACTTTCTAATAAAATTAGTAATATGTATAGATATTTTGAAAATAAGTTAGTTTTACTTTGGTAAGTAATTGAAGACGGTATTAGCTAATATTCCATCGAAATCTCCTATTATTGAAATACTACTGGACACTATTTCAGGGATTTTAAAGTTCAGGTGTTCTACGAGTGAAATAAAGATCTTGTTTTCATTTTCTAGTAGAACTGTGAATTAGTATTGGTTAATGACTACGTCTTTACCTTCATATAACAGTTTATATTCTATTGCTTTGTTGAATAACTGTTTTTAGTTTTCTACCATTCACTAGAAGTAATTCCGAAGGAAATAGTGCTGTTTCACCAAGTAATAAAGAATATCTAGAATTAACTATTCGTAAAGACTTTAGAAAAAGATCATTGAAACAAATTTAAATTATTCGCAAGTGTATATTATTCTTGCCTTACAAAAGGTGATCATATAAACTAACTAATTGAAGTTAATACACTGATTCGACTCCTATCTGATCGCTGATTTAGACCGTCTTCAAATTATCCACAGTTTTCACAACAACAAAAAAACAATCTTGAATAATAATCGTCTTGTTCTACTAATTAGTGATATGATTTCAAAATAGATATTCCATATATTTCTGGTAGAAGAATTTGACTTTTCTGAGCCAACAAAGTTGGGAATAAAGGGATAACTTATTCAGGAAACTGACTAAAAATTGAATGATGTATAAACCGTTATGTTTCAAGTCATTGGCTGAATATTCATAGAGAACGAAAATTGAAATGAATATGGCGACAATGAGAGAATAAATGTCAACAGCAATTTACTATATTCAACGATGATGGAACAAGCTGCTATTTACTTGGATAGAAATTCATATCATTCACTTCTATCAAGAGTTTGTGCTAATGAAACTATCTAGAAATATAATAAAAACTTCACTATTCAACAACTTAGCCCAATAAAATTAGTATAATCTTCGCTATGCAACCTAGAAGTTATTCGCTCGGACAAGTATGTGTGGTGTGCATACTGCCGATGAGGTATCAACGAAGATTTATTAAGTGTTTTGTAGTTTTTAGTAGTTCTCTAACTATTGTTCTCGAAGAAAATTACCTCAATAACATAGTGATCAACTAACAAGTTATTTTTGCCTTCTTTTTAAAGCAAAAAACTGCATTGTATTGATTCCCTTATCTAGTAATGATGATAACAACAATAAAACCACCAAGACTATTCAAATACAAATGACATAGTGAGTGCTTTATTTAAAAGTTGTAAACAATGTCGTATTATAATGAATAACTTTATTAAATATGAAAAACTGTCTAGCTTATTTCAATGAATATGTCAATTAATGTGTTCTAGAAGAAAAGATCTTTCCTATCAGTCATTCCTTTCTTATAGTCCTGTCCACCGACACCCCATTATAGAATGTCGGTATGATTTTCTAAATTTTATTTTTAAATATATAATATCTACCCTTAAGTAGTATAATTATGAGAAAAAGTTGGATTCAATTACAAATGGTTAACAGATGTCTTCATTAAGCTACTTTGTTTTCATTTTCAATAGTATCACATCTTTAAAACAAAAAAACGAATAGTAAGATTGGGTTCAGTAGCAAAGGTTTACTACTCATTAGATAAATTGCCTATGTAATTAAAACAATATCAGTTATGGTAAGCAAAGATGGATAGTG